TACCAACTCGGTATGGGCGCCTCGGTGTCCTCATAATTACCGGACACCCACAAGAAGTCGTCATCATTGGTCTCCTTGTCCGAGTTGCCCTCGATGAGTTTTGCTCGGCCCTTCTTTACTTTTAGATACCAGCAAAGCCCACCTTTATTTTTACTACGGCTGTACTGGTGAAATATTTCAGCAAGACCGAGATTGAGACCGAGCCTCCTGTTTAGCTCGGCCACGCCGTTTATTATCTTGTATGTGTTGTTCGACACTTGGGTTGGACAAAGCCTTGTCTGCCTCAAGAATTCGCAGATCAAGGGTTGGACTGGGAAGCGAAGTCCTCTTTCGATTATGGACACGACCGTGTAGGGGCACCAATCTAGGTCGCCCCAAGAGGTATGTCCTTTCTTGGCCAGCTCTAAAATGACATCGTCTGGAATATTGATAAAGTATGTATTGTTTTGTTTATATGGTTGTACTGAATATAAATAGGTTGTGGAGAAATTACAATCTTGTGATAAAACATAAGATCATTTTTTTGGCGACTAAACAATTCGTACTAAAAAAGGAAGTACATATTTCAGTAACTAAAATGTTAGTAGCTAAAACTTAATAACAAATTTCGGAAAACAATTATGGTGACTACAAAGTTTAGTGCCAACAAAAAGCAAACAATAAGTGACTAAAATTTAAGAATAATCAGACATTTGGTGTCTAAAATATTTTGTAGCCAAAAAACAAAAAAACATTTGCCGACTATAAGTTTAGTAGCGAAAAATGTGAGACTTTAGCCGACTAAATGTTTAGTAGGCAAAACACAAACTATTTGGCTACTAAAAGCTTAGTAGCCAAAAAAGTCAGACTTTTAGCGACTAAAAAGAAAACCAAACTTTAGGCGACTAAAATCTTAGTAGCCAAAAACAATCTAACATTTGGCTACTAAAATATTTTGTAGCCAAAAAATTTTTGATGAACAAGAAAAACACTTTTGCCGACTACAATTTTAGTAGGAAAATTTTTGAAACTTTAGGCGACTAAACATTTAGTAGCTAAAACACAATCACACTTTAGGCGACTAATACATTTAGTAGCTAAAAAAATATTAGGAGGAACCAAAAAAATTTTGGCGACTAAATCTTTAGTAGCTAAATATAAGTAACGTTTTTTGCGACAAATATTTTTAGCCGCTAAAAAGGTGATGTTTAATTGTTTTTCAATACTTTTGGCAACTAAAAAATTAGTCGGCATTGCATTACATTTGTTGACTAAAATTTTTAGTCACCAATTACCTTCCTCGACAATCCTTCAGCAACTACTCTTGCGACAAAAAACATTTAGTCGCTAAAAATTTTTGGCAACTAAAAGATGGTTTTTGGTGACTAAAAATTTAGTCACCAAAAGTGTAAATTCTTGTAGTGTCTCTACACTGCCACGAAATTTCCAACATGAACACAAGTCGAACCAATAAGGTCAAAATGCAACAGTTTAACGCATACATGAACATCGGATGCCTTTCACACTTTCAATGAACAACCCGAAACCAACAATGCAAACACTTTCAATAATGTAATTTACATTGCGAAGCCACATTAGGGTTTCTCACACAGCATGAAACAACCATAACCCAACACACCCACACCGTATTGAATGTTCCCTTACTTGTTCACAATCCCACAAATCACATACGTGCAATCTGCTCACAACGATTTGAATTTCAAAATACATAGCACAGCCAAATGGAACAATGTAGGGTTTCTTTGTCGCAATCACCGTCCAAATTGTTTCCATTTTGGGGATTTTCTCTATCACGTAGATTGGGGAATACATCGTCGGGTTCGGGTCAACCGGAACGTGAATTGTCACCCAGGTTGCTCTGTACATCCGCACGTGTACACGTCACCACTAAACCACCACACACAACCTGATACGTGACCCACCCCCGCGCGTGTTACGAAGCTCCCCAACCTAAATACCCACTAGTGCGCTTTTTCAATCACCGTGGCACACACACATACACAGTCCACGTGACTCATACAAAACAATGCCATATGTCACTCAAAAACACTAACAATGGCAAAATAGTCAACAAACAAATTAAGGGATCACCCAGTCAACAAGAAAACAATGAGGGCCTTACGGATTATGATTTCACAAAATGAGATTTACTGGTCAATTCCCCTTTTATTTTCACATTGTTGTCATCTTTCGTCTGATAAGAGTTTATGAAAATTTAAAATAGCTTTATAGTATTTTTTTTTTAAAGCTAGCTGTTGTTGTTGTTTTTTTTTATTTTTTTTATTTTTTAACAAAAGAAGTTATTAATTTTTTTTTTAATGTGATCTATATCTTCTATCTTCTATATCTCATCAACAGAGAATGGCAGTCTTGGAGATGCAGCTCTAACCCATGAAAGCCACTCTAGTTTTAACACAATCACAAAGCAATTGGTTGAGTTGTACTCATCAGTCTTCTATGTGATCATTTTGGGAGTGCATAACAGCTTAGGGGTGGTGTTTGTTTTCTTGTGTTTGTTTTTTTATAAATCTTTTTGCTTTGATCTTGTTTGGTTTGTTACTCACCAACATGTTGTGATACTAGTAAATGATTGAGCTTGCTTAATAGTGTCAACCTAGTTGGGATCATTTTGCTTTGCTATGATATGGTTTTTGGTTTCCTTCATCAGTAAAGTTTCTTTTGCCAATTACAATCCTTCTTCTCATGTTACGTAGCAACTTTTTCTATCCTAAAACATTACATCAATAAAGAGGATGTGCACAAGGCTTGAACCCAAGACTTTAGATTTTATTAAGAACATTCTTACCACTTGGGCAACATGCATATTATAATACTAATTTCTTTTGTTGTTGTGAAGCACTCAAATGACAATATATCAGAGGTAGGCTCATTCTTTATCTACTCTATAGGTATGCATTATATTGTCTATAGACGAGCTTCGAGATTAGTACATGAATTTGAGGATTAGATTGAAAGAGAAAGATGAAGTCATTGAGCGTGCTAGGGTTTGTCGTCACGATCTTCACTAGTTGAGTTCTAATTTTGTATAGTCTTAAATTTGGTTTGTATAGTCTCAAATCTGGTTTCGAAAAAAACTGATGATGATGATGATGAGTTGTGTGTGTGTGGGTGTGTGTGTGTTTGCATATGATGGATCAGTATGGATTTGTGTGTGGGTGTGTGTATTTTGTTGTTATTGTTGTTGATGTGTTGATGTTCATAATGTTGATGATGATATTGAAATAGATTAAAACAAATTTGACAGATTTGTTCAAATTTTAAACAGATAATACAATTTTATATAGATATGACATGTTTGTTTTGAACATATTTGTTCAAATTTTGAACAGATAATAGGGGTTTGGTATTTTAACAGATAGGGGTTGGCTTGGAATAAGTGTAATAGATAAATATAAATTTGAACAGATAAATAGAAATAGAGGAAAAAACAGATAGAAAGAGAAAAGAGAAGTGGAGAGAGAAACAAATATAGAAAAGTTTGAAAATGGCGTTAATTTGAACAAATAGGAAAAATAGGTCATAAAATTTTAACAAATAAAAATAATTCAACATAAAAAAATTTGAACAGATAGTCAAAAAAGTCAAACAGGTAAAAAAAGGTCAAACAGAAAAATTAAGAGGAAAAATTTGAAACAAAATATCCTTTCAAAATAACAAAAGGACTTCTTACTAAACTATTTCATAAATGGTGGACCTCTCACCAATAAAAAAAAATATCTACTCGACCTAATGTTTTATACTCTCCTTAGATTAGATTTATCACCAATTCTCTCTAATATTAATTTTTATTATTTATTTTTATTCTTACTTATTTGAATTGTACTCACTTGTACTATCATTAACTGAGCAACATGCATATTATAATACTAATTTGTTTATTATTTATTTTTATTTTTACTTAATTGAATTGCACGCATATTACATATGTCATCCACTTGTACTATTATTAAGTGAACACCAAACTTATAGATAGAGGTGGAAAATGTTTAAAGCCAAGACCTTATTCCTATTACTTGAGTATAACCTATGATATTAATTTTTTATTTATTTATTTTTATTCTAACTTATTTGAATTGAACACATATGATGTGCCCCACTCACTAATTATTTAAAAATAAAGACAAAGAAAAATACAACCAAAGTAGTTTGCTACCCAAACTCCTGCTGAGTGATTTACGTTACAATGTTATTAATTGTTGGCATCAAAAGGCTTTGGTCTTAGTTCTCCCCTATACTTGTCTCTTAATCTCAAAATAAAAAACAAAAAATAATAATTAATAAATATTGAAACTAATTTATTGAAGAAAGAAGAAGATTATTTCAAAATGTGGACAATTTAAATATTATAACGAAAACACTTATCTTTCATTTTATTTTAAATAAACTACAATTTAAGTTCAAATTATAAAATTATCTTTTAATTCGACAAATTATGATTTAATAATTACTCATTTGTACAATTGTCCCAGACTCAATCACATGAACACAAATGAAAACTTTTAATGATTAAATAAACGAAACCAATAGTATAGGGACCAAGTAGAAATATTGGAGACAATTTTTGGGATAAAAATGAAGGTTAATTACACTAGCACTCGTTGAATTATTAGTAAATATCACTTTACTTTCTTTTCTGATCTATGAATCTGTACATTTGGATTTCTTTAACTATAAAAATGTATCACTTTCGTCTATTTAGACGATTTCTAAGAAAGATGTATTTATTCAATTTTCGAAATTGAGGAGATCAAAATGTGTAATATTATGTTTTATTTATTTGGATTGAAAACATTTTCTAACGAAAAACTTTTTCAAAAAATGTCTTTTTGGAGAATATGTTTCTATATTTAATGGTGGTGTGGCGGTGATGATAGCGATGATAATTGTATGGTGATGGAGGTACTGTAACAGGGTAGTGTTATGACATCGATAAGACTTGTAAAATAATTTTTTAGGGAGTTATGTTCAGAATCCAAAATAAATTACCAAATATTCCTCACAGCCAGTTTGCATTAGCTGAGAACGATCCCCAGTGTAACTGTGGACCAGCAAGCCGCGCACCACAGAGCCACTAATCACGCTCTGTCCAAGAGAGCTTTTGTTCATCCACCAGATTTTGGGTGCCCTGACTCCTTAGAGCTCAAGGATTCCAAGATACAATCCTACAGAACAGATCTTGTTCAAGTAAGGTCTTGCCTCTTTTTCTTCTTCTCGCCTTATAAAAACAATTCATTTTTTTTCTTAACCTGTCGATGTGGGACTCTCTGTTTTTCTTGTTTTTGTTTCTGGGTTGAACTTGTAAGCATTCTTCATTCTAGATTTGATTTGGATTTGAAAATCTGAGAGAGAAGAGGTTCACCCAAAAATGATAGAATAAAGCAGAGGCAATACAGACATATATGCTTTTCTGTTAGTCTCTGTGAGGATATATTTTCTGAATGTCAACACGTGACATGGTGACGCCGACGTGTCAGCCGAGGTGCCACGTGTCCTGGTAGTTACGCCGAGGTGATCTCGGAGTTGCCGAGGTTATCTCCAAAGATATCGGAATCCGAGATAGGCGGACAGGGGACAAGAGTCCTAAGACGAAGAGGGGACTTAACCTAGATAAGGATAAAGCTCTTAGGGAGTTTATCTTTATCTCTTAAAGAGTCCAAAGTAAACATTGATATGAAGTTCATAGAAGTCATACTTCTAGTGGGACTTGGATTGAGTATATTATAAAAGAGAGGCACCCTCGTGGGTCTAAGGTATGCAATTTATGTTTTGAGTATTCAGTTTAGCACTTGATTTATCTTTGAGAGATATACTGACTTGATCGTCGGAGTGTCCCCGGGTGGAAGAACCACCGCCGGAGCTTTTTCTTTCTGTTACAGGTTGCTAAAACCATCTATTCTGCCTGTGCTCTCCAGCTGATCACTAAACGGGCAGTGTGGTCAGATTTTCACCCACACAGTCTCCTTTTTTTTCTTCTATACTTTCAAATTTTGTATTGAACTATCCTATTTTGTATACTTGGAAAAAAACTCACCACTCTATTTATTTATACGAAGATGAACAGACATTTTAAAATAAAGGTAAATTACATTGACACCCCCTGAGGTTTATATTTATTATAATTCCCCCCTCACCTTTTGGAAATTACATCCCTTTCCTTGAGGTTTAAAGTTTCATTACAGATTACTCACTCCAGTAATTAAATTTTTTTAATTACCAATTTTGCCCTGACTGGATAAATTACATTGACACCTCTCACATTTTAGAAATTACAATCCCCTCCCCAAGGTTTAAAGTAGCATTACCAATTGACCCCTCAGTTAGTATTAGTTGAAAAAAAATTAATTGGAAAAAAAATTATTTGAAAAAAAAAGTTTTAATCAAATTTTTAAATTTCTGTTTAAAAACCATCGTGAATTCTGAATAATATATGATAAAGAAAATTTTTAATGGTGAGTTCTGAATACTATATGATAAAGAAAATTTTTAAATACATAAAATTCAATCATAATTAGATATAACTTTTTTACATGAGATATGAGCTACATGTATAGATTCCATTTCATATAATAAATTGTGTTTAATTCTATAATTAAATTATACAAAAATATATATATGGTAAATTTTAAATATAATAATGCCTTGCCTTGTTAGCAATCATTAATTGATGGGAGTGGAATTGCCAATGTGTGATGCATTGGCCATGTAATTAAAAGTTGAATAATACCATAATGATCATAATTTTTTGGGTTAATTGCACTTTAACCCCACCAATTAATTCTGAATATTATCTTATCTGATCAACTGCAAAACATTATATTTTGTCCCCTCAATTATCAAAATTACTTCACTTTCATCCTATATAGGATGAGAGCTTTTGTACAAATTTTAATAGTTGAGGGTCTGAATGTATGATTTTAAAATATAAGAAGTTACAATAATATTCAAATGATAGTTAAAAAAATAAAGTACAAATTTTCAATGATAGCTAAAATTTTTCTTTATCATATATTATTCAGAACTCACGTTGGTTTTTAAACAGAAATTTAAAAATTTGATTAAATTTTTTTTTTTTGATGTACTTGAAAAAAGAATTTGAAGTTAAAGAGTATATCGTCTATTTATAAATAGAGCAATGTAACATCTTTTAATTCCAATAATGTGATAAATAATTTTGAAAAGAGAGAGAATAGTTTGAAAAGAATTGATTAATTAGTATTGTTTGTCACATCATTGGGATAGTGTGGGAGAGAAAAATAGAGAACTCATAGTCACAAAATAAATGAAAAATTATCAAAAAAGAATTCATTGTAACAACTTAAATATTAAATTTTTTATTTTGTCAATTTAAATTCTAACATTTTAATTTAATTTAATCTAAATTATTCATATATTTTCGTTAAATAAAATTGTTAAAAAAATATATTTTTTGTATACTTTCGACTAAAATATATTTTTTTGACAATTTTACTTAATAAAAATAAATAAATAATTTAAATTAAAAATAAATTAAAATATTAAAATTTAATTAAACAAAATAAAAAAATTAAAATTTATTTTATCATAAGACAAAATCCAATAGTAAATGATTCAAATCAATTTGTAACGTGATGATATCACTGTCAATAAATGAATAATTGGCCCATAATTTATCAAGTCATTTTCAAGCTGCCTTCTTCCTAAAAGTAATGACAAAATCATTAATTGCCCTTAAAGTCTTATATTTTTCAGAAAAATTTCAATGATTGGTTTTTGATTAATTAATGGATGATTATGAATCCATGACCACGACAATAACCTGACACATTTCTTAATTAACTTTGGAATCTATTTTCCAAGATTTATTTTCATTTACGACAATACACATTGCTTAAACTTTACAGTCACATTTCCTAGATTTATTTTGATTTGTTTAATCCCTTAATTATGAGTTCAACCGCATGAAATTAATAATTTTATAGATGAATAAATAATATTGCCATAATTTTTATATTAATATTAATATTTTATTTTAATTATTCATGTATTTACACACTATTTACATTTGTTTTAACCTTATTAAAAATAAGATCAGTATGATTATATTAAAATTGTGAAAATTATTGTAATTTTTTAAAGTGAATTATACTAACAGTCCTCATAGTTTGGAGTTTTTGTCACTTTAGTTCATGACTTTTTAATTATGATACATTTGATCCTAAATTTTGAATCTTATTTTAAATAAGGACAATAAAAAAATGTTTCTTTTGCAAACAATTCATTTCAAGGACAAAGTCGTCATACAACTCATTTTTATATATTTTTATCTTTTGGGAGGGTAGAATAATTTTTTTAAATTAAAATTAAAATTTTGATATTTATTTTCATTAAAGTTTCTCTGTTTTCAAAAGTCAAATATGGAGACAATTTTGATATCATTATTAAACCAATCCATTAAATCAAAAAATTCAAAATTAAAAATATTTTATATATTAAACATATCGTTTATACATTAAAAACTTAATAATCATTCATTACATAATAATTATCTTAAAATATCAACAATAAAAAAAAAAATCTATTACATTGTAACCATCTAAGAATATCAATAAAAACAATCACCTATTACATGATTATCATCCAAACACATACTAAAAATTAATTTGGTAAAAAATATAAAAATGTAAAAGATTTATCATTTTTATGTAATTTTATTTTTAGTGGGTACGAATAATTTTTTTTAATTCAAAAATAACTTTTTGACATTTATTTTTATCAACCTAATTTATATTTTATTCAATTAATGACTTTGCCCTTGAAATGAAATTTTTCTTATTTGGAACAAAATACAAAATTTAAGATCAAATATATCATGATTGAAAGGTCATTGACCAAAATAACACAAACTCTAAAATATAGAGCCATTGGTGTAATTTGTCCATTTTTTTTTATTTTAAATTTCGTAGAAATCAATATAATATAGGTTTCATCGAGGTATGAGAATGTGTCTAAATATCAGATTTTTCTAATTTTCATGTCAAGAATACCAAAACACACCTATATTCATATTTTTTTTAAAAAATTTGTTACTTTTCAAAGATAAAATAAAATATACAAATTAAAAAGCTTATGTATTAGTAAATTTGACTACACTTATACATACTTGTTGAGTGAACATCTCTAATCAAGCATATTACTGTCTAGTATTTCACAAATTTAGAAGAATTCATGTAAAATAGTTCAAAATATAACTTAAAAGTTCCAAGCATGCATAATGACTTATACCATTGCTTCACAACTAGATAAGAAAATCAATTTTTTTTCTTATAAAAAATAAAAAAAAAAAAAAATTGAAAAAGAAAACAAAGAAGATAGGATAACCTAAAACATTGGATTAGAATTCAAATGTATACAACTAAAATTAAGATGCAAAACGACCAACTTTATAATTATATGTGTCCTTTAGATCATGAATTTTATTGTTAAGGTTCAAGTCCCATATTGTTTTTACAAATTCCAAAAATTAAAAAGTGAGAAAAATAAATTACCAAAAATGAAATAGAGAATACATGCATGCATTCTACCAGCAAAATGTTTTTTTGATTTTTGATAATCAAACTGAGGTGAAGAAAATTGGGTAGAAGCCAAACTGACCTCAAATGTAACTGAACTAATGGAACCTTTCTTGAAGAATGTGGTCTTAGCCCTTGGGACCCAAGCATGTATCATACAACTCAAAGACTCCCACATGTTCAAACTCAGTGAGTCACCCACAAACATGATCTTCTTCCCCCTCCACCTCTCCAAAAACTCCAACCCATTAAACCTACACCATTTTTATGCATTACCCATTTTAGAGAGAGAAAGAGTGAGTGTGTATTCAGAGAGAGAGAGAGTTAGAGGAGAGAGAGTACCTTGGTAGGTGACATGAGAAGGGTTGCCACCTGTATTTGAGGTACAATTTATCAGGTCTACCGTACTTTTGACAATTGAATTCAGGATCAATGAAGGGACAGCTTAGAGAGTAGTCGTATGGAAGAGGGTATGATGCATCGTATACCCATTTGCCTCTGAAAATATTGCAACCACCACCACTGTTCCTATCTATGGAACTAGTGGTAGCATTAGTGATGAATTGCTCAGCCTTTGTTTGGTCTGCAAACAGAAACACATACAGAAGCAGAGACAGAATCACAGCTTCTAACTGAAACCCCATCTTGGATTTCGTGATGGTTGAAGAAAAGGGCTGCCCCTGTCGAAGTGAAGAAAAAGTAGTCTGGAAATGTCTTGGTTCATATAAGGAAAGGAAAAAGTTTGAGATTAAAAAAAGACTCTCACACTTCTATCAATAATGATATCTTATGGTATGGGTTAATTTTGATTAATTACACATTTAATGATTAAAGATTTTATTTTATCACATCATTATAAATAAATTTATAAATTAAATATGTAAATATATGTAGCATTACTCATTCATATAACGCACAGACAGCTCAGATAATATAGGGGAAAGGAAAAAGATTGGTAGCTCGAGAAATTGGTTCAAAAAATGGCTCGAAAGAGAAGAGAGGGGAAGAGGAGGAGAGAGGGAGAAAGAGAGAGGAGAGGTCGTCGCAGCTCCTCGCCGTCGTCGCAGTTCCCGCCGTCGTCGCAGTTCCCGCCGTCGTCGCAGCTCTCCTCCAGTCATTCTTCTTCCTCCTCAGTCGCAACCCCGCCTCCGACCCGCCTCCTCCTCCAGGCCGATTTTTATGGCCCCCTCCCCTCCACTTCTCCTTCCCCCTCCTCCCGATCTGCAGACCCACCCTTCTTCTTCTTCTTCTCCCTTCTTTTTCTTCTTCCTTTTGCAACAAAAACACAGGAAAAAAGAAAAAAAAAAAACACCAAAACGTGTACCATACCACGGAAAGAAAACAAAAAATTAAAAAAAATTATTGTCCAACAATTACGAAGGCCACAGAGGTCCGATAGACTCGTACTCACATACGGAAGATTCCATGTCAGTATGCATATGGGCACAAATGTAATTTTGTTATTTTATCTAATATTTTAATATATATTTTTTCGTAAAAAGTCAATAAGTTATTCCAAACAATCATATTTTTTTCCTTTACTTTTTTACCCAAAAAGTCAAAAAGTGCACTTATATAGTTCATATTTTGGAGATTAATTATTTCTGAGTGGAAGATAACCATTATCCTCATTATTTTTTAAGGTGTTTTCTCCACATCAATTTACATGATAGATTTATGTAAGTCGGTGTTTGTGTGGGCTCTCACCGCCACCTCTCACCACCGATGACCGGTTTATTCTTCCACTACTAACGATCACCTTTGATGAACCGACCCTCTCTCCTCTCGCCCTCCTGTTTTATCTCTCTCCTCTCGCAAACGCTCTGATTTTTTTTTTTTTTTGTTGAAATCTTTCTTTATTTTTATTTTTTTTGGCCAATTCATATTGGCTGTTCAGAGGAGCTCAATTTGTGTGGATGACTCATTATTATAAAAAATATGTAATAATTTATCATAAAAATATATAAATGTGAGTGTTGATTTCTAACCTCACAATCAAACAAATTTATTTGCAGAGATCTAGGGAACTTAGTTGAAGAGCACGTAGCGGAATAGATTAAACCAAGCACCTGCCAGCAAGAAGATAAGAATATCACAGTCACTCGTCCATCCGAAGACACTCCGACGATCAAGTCAGTAAACTTATCTCTCAAAAATATCAAACAAGGATAAAAAATTGTCAAATAATTATGTCAAAATCACGAAACTTGTATAATTTACCTTTTTAATTTGGAAAAGATTTACAATTCCATTCCGTATATCAGATAAAAGGATAAAAAGTGGGTCAATGTTTAGACAATTACATGTGAAAAAAATGACTTTTTCTGAATATTCTAAATAATCAAACTATTTATGAAAATATTCTACTTTTGAAATTATTTATCAAACTAACCAGTTTTATGAAATCGAAATTTCAACCTGCAATTTCACTTTGAAATTAGATTTTTAACCTGTAATTTGGTGTTGACTGAGAAATGAAATATGTCAACAATCATTAAAGCACATGTCAACATGAAATTACAAGTTAAAGATTCAATTTCAACTTCAAATTGCAATTTTATAAAAATGATTAGTTTGATAAATAATTTTAAAAGTGAATTTATTTTCATAAATTGTTCATTTTTTAGAATACTGAGGGGGAAAAACCCTCCACAAAAAGAAATCAAACTAATGTTTCTCGTTGAATGAAAAGCACCCTCAAAAACACAAGATTAGCAAAAAGATTGAAATCTGTCAGACAACCACTTAACCATCGCAGCCGGTTCAAACCAGCTGAGAACGATCCTCTGTGGATCCATGGACAAGAACTGAACCACGCACAGACCGATTAATCACGCTCTGGTCAAGCAGCCACGATTCATCCACCAGATTTTGGGCCCTGACTCCTTAGAGCTCATGGACTAAGAGGTACAACCCTGTAGAACAGATCCTGTTCAAGTAAGGTCATGCCATAATTTCTTCTTCTAGTCATATAAATACAGCTCACATTGCTCATGCTGTTTCGATGTGGGACTCTCTGTGTCTTTCTTTTCTTCCCGTCCGTCTTCCGACTTGTTTTTGTATTTGGGGGTCGTTTCTGGATACTGGGCGGAGCTTATTCATACGGGTTTCTTCAGGGTTAGCAACGCAAAACTTCCCTACAGATTGATTTTTTGGAGGCTAAGAGATTTATTTACTTCGTTATTATTAGTCTCATTTTCTACAATTGTTTCACTTCTGTTTTCCATACTGAATTTTATACTAGGGAAGTTGTAATTGTAAGTGATTTGGAATCTGTTTGCGTGCAAAGAAAATCACCATGAATTAGTTAAAAAGGTCCTCGCAATTTTCATGGACTGAAATGCTCTTTGTCACTGTAATTTTCTGATGCTTTGTTGGGCTGTTGTTTAGAATCGAAGAACAGTGACCTTATGATTATGAACTTGGACTAGTTTAGTGACTTCCACATCAAAATTTGGGAGCGAAGAACCATGTTGGCAATCAAGAAAGTGCAAATTCTTTCAGGGCCTGCCCTGAGTTATTAGAGGACTAAGGCGAATTTTTTAAATTGGACCCTTTATATATCATTATATAAAAAATAAAAATAAAAAAAAATAAAAAAATTGTTTGGATAAAACAAAAAGGACAAAAATTTATTTCTATTGCATTACAATTTAACAAAAATTAGATAACAAATATATATATATATATATATATAATAGTTGAACTTCAATTAGTTGAATCGAATATTTATTTTTTAGCTTACCAACGTTATAATAACTAAAATTAATTGGGGATAAAGATGAGAATTTTCGACACAATTCAAGCAATATATAAAATTAGCAAGTTAGGGTTGATTATTTTTCAACATGAATCCATGTATGATAAGACTCAATAACATGAATTATTAGTTATATATTTTAATGTTCACTAAGGCTTGCCATGACATTTTTTTAATCTTTTATTTAACTCCATCTAACTGAATAAAAAAGTACATAAAATAATAATTAAGGCTAATATCTTTTTTTATTTAAGATATGTATTTTTTTGTTACCTATTTTAGAGTCAATTTAGTAAAAAAATATATAGCAATAGGGTACAATTTTTTTAATTAGAAAAATGCAATTGAATTAAAATCAAACATTCTATGAATAATTTCATTTAGTTGAAATAAATTTTATAAAATTCAGCTTATGGGAGAAATTTTAATTTCTCCATACACTTGCTAAGTTACTTTTAACTAAAAGTGAAAATTTTCATATTAAATATCAATTGGACACGAATCAAAATAACATTATACGACAACATAAAAATAAATGAATTGAACTAATATTGAAGTAATTGTGAAATAACATGACATGATACATTCTCCTAGTTAGAAACCCTAAATTTTGTTTAAAATTGGAGGTCCGAGACGACCGCCTTAGTTGCCTCACCCGCAAGACCGGCCTGATTCTCTTCAGCAAATTGTTATTTTCACATTCTATAGGTGTTCTTTACATTTTAATATTCTTTTTTTTCCTCTTGGGTAGTTGACCATTCAGGCACTTAAGGCGTGCTCTCCTCTATTTTACTGCTGCTTCTGCTTTGGAGTGCAGGAATGGGGCAGACACTATAAGAAAGTAGCGTCTTTTATTTGAGGAGATTTATGGTTTGAGTTTAATGTACAGAGGGAGTCGAACGATAATCTCCTTCCACCACCCATTAGGGAGTTTTCATCCTTGGGAGACAAAAATTCATACATAACATGGGTAGTGAAACACAATGACAGGATTGCTTATTTCTAGCAATAATTTTTTAGTACATCAATAATTTCATTTTGATCGTAGTCTAGGGGATGGAGAGTGGGCGATCGGATGCTGTGGAGAGTACTCCTGCAGTATACTAAACAGCGTTGTTTTGATTAAGTTAGATGAATGTGAATTTTTTCATCCGATGGAAGGTATTTAATGACTTCTAACCTTTCAATTACATATGGCCATTTGGCAATAAGCCTTCTTGCATTAGTTAAGAGAAATCTATAAAACAATTTTACAAAGAACTTTGTCGGATTACTTCTTAAATCGCTCTACTTTTCCTTTGGCTGCTGATGCTTTTTCAGTTAACTTTGTTTCCTGAAGAAAATCAAAATCCAATCTAAACCCATTTAACTAGTTAAATTCTACTCAATAGGGTGAAATCTTCTGCTTTCCTCAATCATTGTTATGAAAAAAACAAACTATAAACACTTCTAATTTAAATTCTTCCATGCATTTTCCCAGCAACCAACCAGAAGATTATCACTGCTTGCGGTGGTTGGGGGAGAGGGGAAGGATGGTCGCCGTGGAAGAGAATTGTCTTGCGGCAGCGAGGGGTAGAGGAGTTTGGTCGGCTGTTGGAGAGGGTGGGGGATGGGTGGCCACAGGAAGGGAGTCCGTATCCTCGGTCGCACTTCCCTGCGGTCCTCCCTGCAGCCCTCCAAAACGACATCGTTTTGGATATAAAAAAAAAATTCCCCCTTTCTTATTTTGCTTTCCCCTTTTTGTTTTTGAACCATATCCTCTAAGACAGAGGGGCACGATCTGGACAAGAGAGAGAGAGGTGACGAACGGAGTGGCAACGGAGGCAAGGCAAGATGAGGCGAGGGGACGAAGGCGACAAATAGAGAGGCGACGGAGGCAAGGTGAGGTGAGGAGAGGAGGCGGCGAGAGACGAACAGAGAGGTCATGATTATGATGTAACTTGATACTAAATTTTCCTAAATTTCTATCTGGAATTCCAGATTCTGAACCCAATTTTACTTCAATTGCTTGGGTGGTAGATATTTTTCTTTGGGATAGCAACATATGAATGCACTCTTGAGGTACCGCTCCTTCTTTGGCTCAAACAAACCTAACATTAAAAATAAATGCCTCGTTAGATCAGAATACATGGTATGCTGGTCAAAACAAAGCAAGATACTATTTTTTTGGCCCTAGTTCTGGTCTTGCTGAAAATTCACCCATATCAAAGACAAACCCCTGGATTTTGACCCAAAATCTGATTCTGATATGACCCTCAAGTTTTGAAAGGAATCGACTCAAGATTAAGACTCTTCCTGGATTGCATCACACATTTCCAAAGATTTCACATTTTGTACAAAAGCACTCAAAACACCCCTATGAGAGGTTAGGGTTTCCCTATCCTATTTTTGACATGATCTAAGGTTTTCCTACTTCAAGAAAGCAATTTCACAAAATCCTGCACATGGGTGAGCATCATGTCCTATGTTGGAACAGTCACCGTCACACCCCAAGTTTTATTACTCGGAATTATAACTAAAACCTTTAATGCAAGTCCATTTTTTTTTAGCTATAATTATAATTACAAGTACTCATTACATGGAGTACAATACTATTATTCTCTCTCGAATAAGTACAACAATAATACATGTCAAGGTTCACATTGAATTACACTTGAATCTCTCATTACAACAAACATCTCTCATTTACAATATAACAATATAAGAGAAAAATAAACTCTTCAATCCTCAATCTGGTGTTCCAACTTCGCTCCTGAAAAATGGTTAAAATAATTGGGATGAACACGAAGTCGAGTAGGAATTTTCCTGATTCTAAACAATACGGTCCCTAGATACATGAGATCATGAAATGCTATAGGATGATAATAATATAATTTCATTGTGCTCTTTTTAAACTCAAATTACAATACATATAGATAATACCATTCCCATAAAGAAATCCATGAAAAACTTTTAGAGAAAACTCTTTCTTTCAAAAATTATCCTTATTAACATTATATAGAGGTCCAAGTATGAAAACAAGTCATTTTTCTACAAGTCACAACAAACCATCACCCTATTATAGTTCACATAAGATGAATCAACACAATCCATATGTTCAACTTTACACAATTAAGATTATCCATTTCCTTTTTATCACAATCACACGTTTACCTCTCATCATGCCACAACACGCTATAACCCATTATAACCCACATAACAAAGAACCCATACAATTTCGTTTATTCGGTTTTACCCAATCAAGATTATTCAGTTTCCATTATCTCAGACCCATGTATAATTCTTATTATAATCATTCCACACAATCCAAATTGGACACCGGCTCCATTACCAAGCCTTAACATCATACCACACGGTTTACCGGTCACAAGCCGGAAGGAACGCGGAACCTCACGCTTTACTGGTCACAAGCCAGAAGGAACGTGGAACCTCACACTTTACCGGTCACAAGACGGAAGAAACGCGAAACCTTTACCCATTTCATCAACTCACACGCTTTACGGGCGCTACTCTGTAAGGAAGGCGGAACCTTTATTAAGCGTCACGCTTTGCCGGCTTAAACACGGCAGGAAACGGACCCCAAGGCAACATTACAATCCAAAAATACTACTCACGTGTAACCTGTCCCACGCTTGAAAATGTCTCCAAATTCTTATTAACCTAATTGTTTAACCCCCTTCTCCACTTTACTCTCTCTCTCTCTCTCTCTCTCTCTCTCTCTCTGTAAACGATATGGAAGCTTGGAAAAGAACTCGGCACTGAAACAACAAACGAAGGAATACTAATCTCCTTGCATCCTCTGATTCGATTGTCACTTTTTCACCTCTAGGTAATACTAATATCTTCCATTTTTTTTTTCAAATTTATTCGCTCATTTTTTATCTGATTTTTTTTAAATGATTAATCTCCTTTTTGGAAATAACAAAAATCTGAATATACTCAATTTGGTTGCTGAGAAATTGGAGGAAAACTAATGAAAATGAAATCAAAATCTTCTCTTGCTTTGGTTGCAAAACCAAGCATTTACTGTAGGCTTAAATAATAATAATAATAATAATAATAATAATAATAATAATAATAATAATAATAATATCTTTAATTTCTCAAAGATGAATAGGCTTAAATATCTTTAATTTCGTTGCAATTCACTTCAATTTGGATGCTATTCACCTCATTAGGGTTAGAAA